GCTGCTCGAGCGTCGCCATTCCGTCCGTGGATCGAAATCTAGCTCCGCGTAACCATGTTACGATCTACATTAGCTCCTGATGTGATGCTTCTCGCCTCCACTCCTCGAGCCGAAGGCTATCGAACACAACATGTCATGCTATGCTCGCCTGCGCCTTGCCTTACCTATAAAACACCAACACAATGCAGTATACTGCACATGGATTGCTACTGCAAATGCAACGCAATGCAATGCATGCAACGCAACAAAATTGTCGGTTGACCAATTGGTTGGCTGGTGGCCGGTCGGTCGTTAGGCAGGTCGGTCGGTTGGCTGGTTGATTGGGTGGCTGCCGCGTGGCAGCGCCACTCTACTCGCTACGTGGCAGCGCCGCGGGGGCCGGAAAATAATTCGATTCCACTCGGCTCACCATGTGGCACCGCCTGGCGGGGACCGACAAAATACTATTCCACGATTCGTCTCGTGACGGCGCCACGGGGGCCAACAAAAATTAGCCAGGCGAAGGACCCAACCATAAGCAGTTGTGAATACCGCAATTGTGAATATCATCTTCGCTCGCGCTCCCTTTGGGGCCACGAACCGTGTGAGGGGGCGTGCCGAAATCCGTGGCGGGGCCCACAGTACGAACAAAGATGGTCGGTCTGAGTGCGAGAGACTGAGAACGGGTGAGCCTGAGCGCGAGTGAGTCTGATTGTGAATGAGTCTGCGTGCGAATCAGTCTACGTGCATGAATGTCGACGCCCACGTCGGCACACTCCTCACGAGGATCGCGCCCGCTTCATTCCTTTATTTTTCTGCCTCTTTGCCCGTGCACGCCGATATCCATGGCTGCGGGCGCGGCGCCGCACGGAGTCCCCGCGACGCACGCTGGTCTCTCCGAAGGGGCCCTGGCGACTGCGACCTTAGGTGGAGCTTCCTTTGGCCCTAAGAGGCCACGAAACGTGTGAGGGGTTTGCCAAAATGGGGCGGGGCCGCCATGGGAGCTGCGCCACTGGGACCTTCGGTGGAGCTCCCCATGAAGCTACGAAACGTGTGAGGGGTGTGCCAGAATGGGGCGGGGCCGCCATGCCAGCTGCGCCACTGGGACCATAGGTGAAGCTCCCTAAGGGGCTACGGAACGTGTGAGGGGTGTGCCAGAATGGGGCGGGGCCGCCATGCCAGCTGCGCCACTGGGACCTTCGGAGGAGCTCCCTATGGGGCTACGAAGCGTGTGAGGGGTGTGCCAGAATGGGGCGGGGCCGCCATGCCAGCTGCGCCACTGGGACCATAGGTGGAGCTCCCTATGGGGCCGCGGAGCGCTCGAGGAGTGTGCCCAAATGGGGCGGGGCCGCCATGCCAGCTGCGCCAATGGGACCATAGGTGGAGCTCCCTATGGGGCCACGAAACGTGTGAAGGGTGTGCCAAAATGGGGCGAGGCCGCCATGCGAGCTACGCCACTGGGACCTTGGGTGGAGCTCCTATGGGGCCCCGAAACGTGTGAGGGGTGTGCCCAATTGGGGCGAGGCCGCCATGCGAGTTCCACCACTGGGACCTTAAGTGGAGCTCACTATGGGACCACGAAGCGTGTGAGGGGTGTGCCGAAACAGAAACATGTGAGAGGAAGGAGGGGGGGGCACAGCGGGAGGAGGAGACGCGCGGCGCTCTCTTCAAAACGAAGACCCAACACCACATGATGGTTGGGAAATCTGATACCGGAGAAAAGCCCCAATCAAAATCTGTATTGGGTTATAGGGCTATGGCGCTATTGGGCTATAGGGCGATGGGAGTATGGGGCTATAGGGCTATGGTGCTATAGGGCTATAGGGCCATAAAGCAATAGGTCTATAGGGCTATACGGCTATAGGGCTGTAGGGATAGGGATATGGGGCTCTGGGGCTCTGGGGCTGCAGGGCTATAGGGCCATAGGACTATGAGTCTATATGGCTATGGAGCTATACGGCTATATGACCATAGGGCTAAAGGGTTACACGAATATAGGGCTAGGGGGCTGTAGGAATATAGGGCTATAGGCATGTAGATATAAAGGGCTATGGGGCTATAGGGCTACAGGGCTATAAGGCTATATGGCTATAGGACCATAGGGCGATAGGGAATATAGGGAATATGGGGCTATAGGGCTGTTGGGCTATTGGCCTGTAGGGTTGTAGGGCTGTGGGGCTATTATTGGGCTAGGGAGCTATAGGGCGATAGGGACATAGTACCATGGGGCTATAGGGCTATAGCGCTATAGGCATATAGATCTATAGGGCTATGGGGCTATATGACTATACTATTATAGGGATATAGGGCTATAGGGATAGAGCTATAGGGCTATAGGGCTATTGGGCTATAGGGCTGTAGGGCGATGGGGCTATAGGGATATGGGGCTACAGAGCTATAGGGCTATAGGGCTATAAGGCTATAGGGCTATTGGGCTATATGGCTATAGGGCTCTGGGGCTGTAGGACTATAGGGCTATAAGGCTATAGGGCCACAAGTCTATAGGGCTATAGGGCTATGAAGCACCCAGGCACCCGGGCACCTCGGCATCTGGGCGGGCCTCGGAAATCGGTGGCAAACCTCATCTAACCATATGATACTGGAGAAAAAACACTGCCAAAGTCTTTTTAGGGCTAGAGGGCTACGGGGCCATAGGTCTATGGGGCTATAGGGCTATAGGGCCATAGGGCTATAGGGCTGCAGGGCTACAGGGATATAGGGCTCTGGGGCTCTGGGGCTACAATGCCATATGGCAATGAGTATATAGGGCTATGGGGCTATAGGGAAGGCTCTGGATGGCGATTGATGGCCTCAGGAGGCGCGACGGGGACGCCAAGCGGAAGCAACCGGTCACCCCAGGATGATGCGATGGATCCGGAAGAAGCTGCAACCGGAAAGGTCTGCTTCTTCTTGCTGAGGCTCTCGAGTACGTGTCAGGGGACCAGAATGGCTACACGAGAGGCAAAGGTCTGCGAGGTGTCGACGTCACGCCGCAGGCGGCTGGCGAGCCGTGCAGGAACTGGCCCGAGGCGAACGAGGTCGTCATCAAGAGCCGGGCTAGTAAGACCGATCAGTACAATCGCGGGGAGTGGCGCAACCATTTCAGGGTCGAGGTGACGGCGGAGTCAGCGGAAAAGGGGCACTCATGCGTCGTGGAGGCTCTGACGGTCTACCAGGGCTGGGCGCGAGAGAGGTTCTCAGTGACGGGATGTAAGACCCACACTTCGCCTACGACGACACCACGCTCGTGACGCGAGCAGACGTCCAGCGCGTGGTGATACAGTCGGCTGTGGCGGAGGAGGTGGACCCGAACGACCTCGGCTCCCACAGCCTGCGGATCGGTGGAGCATCCGCGTTGCACGCGGCGTTTTAAGACACGGCGCTGGCGCAGCGCTGGGGGCGTTGGAACAGCGACGCGTTCCAGGGCTACCTGTGGGAGGCGAGGGACATGGCACAGGACGTGGCCAGCAGCATGGCAGATGCGGACCTGACCATGGTCTGCGGATGAGAGGTGTGGCAGCCGCGAAGGACCTTTGAGGCTCGAAACGCAGGGTAGCTCACCCGGCCGTGCAGGCCAAGGGCTGACGCGCGGGGGGAGCCTCGTGAGGCTGAGGAGCGGTCGCCTGCCGAGGCGGAGAGAAGACACGGGCGCCATGGCGCACGGGTGCTGGGTGATGGCAGGGCCAGGTCCCCCCCCTCCAGTGCGAACAGAAACCTTCGAGGCGGGCCCCGTGGCTCGCGACGCGCGTGGTGTGGCGGCGAGCGCCAGACCACGTGGGGGGCAGGCGGCCCGGGCAGGCAGGCTGCCGCGCCGCGAGCTCGCGCCTCAGAGGATGAGGCGCCGTCGTCCGCGTGAGATAAAACGGAGCGCCCTCCTCCTCCTCCTCCTCCTCCTCATCATCATCATCATCATCACCATCATCATCATCATCATCATCATCACCACCATCACCACCCCCACCACCACCACCACCACCACCACCATCATCATCATCATCATCATCATCATCATCATCATCATCATCATCATCATCATCATCATCATCATCATCATCATCATCATCATCGTCATCATCATCATCATCATCAGCATCATCATCATCATCACGAGGAGGACGAGGAGGAGGAGAGGAGAAGAGAGGCGGTTTGAGAGGCAAGGCAAGGCCCTTGGAGGGCCTAGTGCCTCGATCCGCCGTCGTCATGAGGCGGAGCGAGAGGAGCAAGACTTGGACGTTAGATATAACGGAGGGTCTTGCTCGCGAGCGTAGCCTGCCTTTCCGTGCACGTTGCTCAAGGCCTCTAGCGAGGCCAGTGCTTCGTTTTTCGGGGTCCCTCCCACCCGCACCTTTTGTGGGTGGGGCCTCCAATGGCGTTTCTCTCGGCCCCACAATTAGGCACGGGAAGCTGACGCGCGCTCGCCAGCATTGCTGGTTGGCGCGAGACCTCCCCCGTGGGCACAGGCGGCCCTGGCAGACAAGCTGCCGTGCCGCGGGGGGCAGGCGGCCCGGGCAGACAGACTGCCGGGCCGCGAGCTCGCGCCTCAGAGGATGAGGCGCCGTGGTCCGCGTGAGATAAAAAGGAGCCTCCTCATCATCGTCTGAGGAAGAGGAGAAGGAGGAGGAGAAGGAGGAGGAGAAGGAGGAGGAGAAGGAGGAGGAGGAGGAGGAGAGGAGGAGAGGCGGCCTGAGAGGCAAGGCCCTTCGAGGGCCCAGTGCCTCGATCCGCCGACGGCATGAGGCGGAGCGAGGGGAGCAAAACCTCCTCCTCCTTTGCCTCCTCGTCCTCCTCGTCCTCCTCCTCGTCCTCCTCCTCGCCCTCCTCCTCGTCCTCCTCCTCGCCCTCCTCCTCGTCCTCGTCCTCCTCCTCCTTCTCCTCCTCCTCCTTCTCCTCCTTCTCCTCCTCCCTCCTCCTCCTCCTCCTCCTCCTCCTCCTCCTCCCTCCTCCTCCTCCTCCTCCTCCCTCTTAGGTTTCACAAGCACGTCTCCGATTGCGATGTCCCCATTCATTTGCCAAGGTTTGGCCTGAGCTCGTCGCGGGTCTTCCGCAGCCGCCGGAGGAACTCGAGGCTCTCCTGGCGCGGGCGGAGCTGCGCACCGCGGGCCCCCAAGAGAGCTCGCCACCAGGGCCTCCCCGTCCGCCATCCTCGGGGCCATCTTGGCTTGCCCTCCCCCTTCCCCATCCTCTTCCACTCGCCCCACTCCTCCTCCTTCTCGTCATCCGTTTTCCGTCGTTATTGCTGTTGCGATGATGGACGTCATGCTGCTGGGGCTGCTGTTCCAATCCGGCCTGATCCTCCTCCTCCTCCTCTCCTCCTCCTCCTCCTCCTCCTCCTCCTCCTCCTCCTCCTTCCCGCGATCCTGGTCTCGATCTTCCTACTGGAACTGGCACTGCTTCATCCCTTCCTCCTGCTCCCTCGGCTTCTCCCTCACCTCTTCCTCTCGGGCGTTGCTAGAAGTGCCCCTGGCCCAAGTTGCCCCCAGGATTTCCAGGGAGGCCCCCACGGCCTCCAGTGCGCCCCTCACGAGGCCCAGAGGGCCCCAGGGGCTTCAAAAATGGAGCGAGAAGCCAGGGGCACATTGGGCCAGGGGCACCTTTAGCAACCCCCGATCCTCCCCCTTCCCCTCCTACCCCAGCTCCTCCTGCTTCCCCCACTCCTCATCCTCCTCCTCCTCCTCCTTCTCCTCCTCCTCCTCCTCCTCCTCGTTCCCCTCGTCCTCTTCGTCCTCCTCCTCCTCCTCCTCCTCCTCCTCCTCATCTTCCTCCTCCTCGTTTCCCCCTCGTCCTCCTCGTCCTCCTCCTCGTCCCCTCCTCGCCCTCCTCCTCCTCCTCCCTCCTCCTCCTCCTTTCCTCCTCCTCCTCCTCCTCGTTTTCTCCTCCCTCCTCGTCCTCCTCCTCGTCCTCCTCCGCGCCCTCCTCCTCGTCCTCCTCGCTTTCCTCCTCCTCCTCTCCTCCTCCTCCTCCTCCTCCTCCTCCTCCTCCTCCTCCTCCTCCTCCCTCCTCCCCTCCTCCTCCCTCCTCCTCCTCCTCCTCCTCCTCCTCCTCCCCCCTCCCCCAGCCCCCAGCCCCTCCTGCTCCCCCGCCCCGCCACTCCTCGAGCTCCTCCCGCCCCCTCCGCCCGTCGGGCTCCGGCCCGCGCGCTCCTCCGCGGAGGCCTCGCGGCCGTGCTCCGCATATGCCTGACGCCGTGGCCGATCGGCCACCACAGAGTCGGACCCAGGCTTAAGTCGGGCATGTCCCTCTACAGGGGGATTTTCGACGAAAAAAAAAGATACTCCCACATGATCAAACATCGTGAAGAAATCGTCCCCAGAGACCTAGGCCAGAATACAGTCGGGGCGTTGACCTAAGGAACGATAAATAAGGAACGAACGATGCCCCTTTGTCCCACAAGGTGAACTCAGATTTTCCGTGGAAAACCTCAATAAAATCCAAGGAGCACTGTAAGACAACTAAGGAACACGGAGCCCCTCCCAAACGAAAAGGGTTCCTTCTTCAGCGGCCCGACTGTAGGCCAACATAGCATCATTTCGGGCGCGGCCTATAACCTACCCCTAGCAAACCATCCCCTTCCGTGACGTCGTCCTCGCCTCTCGAGCTCCCCTCCGGCCGCCTGCTTAGGTCTTGGGGCGAGGCGAGGGGGATGTCACGGAAGGGGATGGTTTAGTAGGGGTCGGTCAGGCCGCCCCTGATCATTCAAAAAACATGAGACCCTCCGCCGGCCAAAACAAACAGACCATCCAGGGATACCCTCCCCGGGATGTGCAAAAGAACATCCCACGAGCACGAAGAACACTAGGGTACCCTCCCCGAGCCGACCTCGGTCTTATGCCTCGGTCCGACTGCGCCAGTGCCAATGGCGGCCCAAGAGCAGCCGTGCGCAGCCCCATCCTGGCCACTGCACGGCCCCAGCGTTGACGCAACGACCCCACACTGGGGGACACATAATGGTACCGATACCGCTCAAGACGAAGCCGGGACGAGGATAAGTTCGGGTGAGGACAAATCGAGAATCTCTGAAATCCAGCGGCTCTGGAAAATTCTCGGGCGCCACGGCCTTCTCGGAACGTTCTGGAACGCTTTGAGAGCGTTCCCGAACGCTCTGGAACTGATTTGCCCTCGTCCTGGCCTCGTCCGTCCGCCACTCCCTGGACCTCTCCCGGGGTGTGTCCTGGCCAAAATTTCGAGGAGAATCCAGCCGTGGTGACGAGAGCTCTCCAGGACGAGCGGCGGGCCCATGGGAAAAGTAACACTAGACAGAGATCGACACAATTTCTGGCCAGGCATGGATTTAAGTCGGGCGTGTCCCCCTACAGGGGGATTTTTGGGCGACAAATTAAAAACAGTTTAAGAAAAATGCCCCCAAAATAAGCAAAAATAATTTAAAAATCGTATCCCGACTATTTTTCTACTATTTTTGCACTTTCCTCCTGTAGAGGGACAGGCCCGACTTTGGCATGGATCTGTGACGACTGCTCCTTGGCCCTCGGGGTGGCCGAGCGACAACGGGCAGGCGCCTGCAGCAGCAGCAGCTGGCGGCCGCCCTGAGGGGTCGACGCCTGCTGCAGCTTGGCCAATTCGCGTGCCAGTGCGCTCATCGCGGGCGCTTCCGCGCTTCGATCCAAGCCGAAGTGGCTAGCGAGAGACGAGGGGGAGGGCGAGGACCGAGTCTGAGACAGGGGAGAAAGGGAACGACGACGACGACAGCCCGCAGGAGGAGAACGGTATCAAGAAGGACGCGGGGTAAGATGATGATAGTGATGACGATGCTGATGGTGGTGGGGGTGAGGAAGGCGAACAACAGGGTGAGGAAGATGACGAGGTCCGAGTATGAGACAGAGGAGAACGGGAACGACGACGACGACCGCCCGCAGGAGGAGAACGGTATCGAGAAGGATGGGAATTAAGATGATGACAGCGATGACGATGCTGATGGTGGTGGGGGTGCGGAAGGCGAACAACGGGGTGAGGAAGATGACGAGGTGAAACATAGCGGCTTTCACGGGGAGCGGGTGCCAAACGAGAATGACGAGGTCGAGAAGACAGAGGGCGAGGAAGAGGGCCAGGTGAGGGAGGAGGACGACGACCACGACGAAGAGGGAGGCATGGAGGAGCAACGGCAACAAAAACAGCTGAGAACGGCACGCCGTGCCTCAGACAGCCTGCGCGCTTGTGGGGCCGCGCGCGCACACGGCTGCATCCCCGAGGCATAAAATCCCTGGACGAGGGCTGGGGCCGCCCACGTCGACTGCACGCAGGAGTGACCCTGGGTGAGAGTGACCTTTGGTGCGCGGCTTCTAGGGGGCCGCGGGGGAACCAAACACAAGCGCGCAAGACGCTGCCACTCGGCGGTGGACAAACCTCCCTTTAGTACACCTCCCCTTAGCGAAAACGGCCTGGGACAGAAACCGACGGACCTGGACCCGCAAAAATGACGGCCGTGACGCCCCCTCGCGAAGCGAAAACGGCCAATTCCTTAATCGACGTGTCAGGGTGGGAGGTCTGTCCACCCCCGAGCCACCGCACCGCGCTCGGCGATCGGGAGACCCCGGAGGGCCCGCACCAAAGGCCACTCCGGCGAAGGGTCACTCCTACGCTGAAGGGGCCCTGGGACACACAAAAAAAAGGATTCCCCATATTTCCCCATTTTTTTTGTCTTCCCCCCCACTTCCTATATTTTCCCACATTTTCTAGGGAGTCGACGATTAATTTGTCTGTGTGTTTTTTCCCCTCCTGATACGCGCAGTCGACCACGCCGCTGGCCCGCATGCCGCACGCGGCCGACGGCGCCACGGCCCGGACCCTGGGCGCACACGGCACCGGCCGAGCACCCACACCGGCTGGCACCCCCTGGCACTCCCGCGCCGCCCGCGGCGAACGGGTGAGCTCCTCCACTCCGCGGCAGAGAGACTGCACACTTGCTGTTGTTGTTGTTGCTGCTGCTGTTGTTGTTGTTGTTGCTGTTGTTGTTGTTGTTGTTGAACATTATTACTTCTAAAGAATAATTATTGTTGGGGCCCCTGGTGCACGACCCCCCCGCCGCGCCTAGGCCGCAGCCTCATTTTCATCATTTTCGTGAGGAAGTCTCAAGCAAAACGGGGGAGTCCGGATCCGGTTGTGTTGTTACGATCGGTTTTCCCTTGCAAAAAATAAACTAAAGTGGACATTTCCTGTTCTAACATAACCAAACTTCAAGAATCCCTTGCAAAAAATAAGGTAAAGTGGACATTCGCGCGCGCAAGACGAAATCCTTCCAAAACCTGAGTTTTCGTAGCGATTTTAACATAAAAACATCAAAGAACCAATGGTAAAAAAAAAAAAAAAAAAAAAATGTCAAAATTTCATCCCGCGCGCTCTTGCGGATTCGTAGGAAACCCAACACTTTTTAAACATTTCTGTCAAACGGGCTTTTGCGAGCAACTTTTTCGAACTTCTGCAACAACGGTTGCGCACCTGCCAGGGCCATCATCCCTGTCAAATAATACCATGCGGGACACATTCGTTTTTTCTTCGCGCGCGCACGCCGTCGTCGTCGGCCGCGGGGCCCTGAATAGTAGCCACGGTCGTCCGCATGCCACGAAGTGAAGTGTCCGAACGTCATAGGGCGGGAAGCTGGGTGTGGGTGGTGGCGAAGAGTCGTTTGGAAATTTGGTAGAGCTTGAACCGGCCCCCCCACAAAGTGGGGGCATTGCCCGCCTCCTATGAAAACCCTGGCACTGGTGAGAACGGAATGTCCCCACGTGCTAGTAATTGTTGTTGTTGTTGTTGTTGTTGTTGTTGTTAGTAGTATTGTTATTATTGGTGTTGTTGTTGTTGGTGTTGTTGTTATTGTTGTTGCTGTGCGGGCGATTGGACAACCCTAACTCATGAGTAACTCTCGGCCTCGCGATTCGCAGCACTTCGGCCGCACTTCGCTAAAATGGACAGCACACCGGCCCTGGAAATGGCCAGCTGCAGACGCCCCCCCCTTGGTGGAGGGCCGCTGCAGCTGGGCGACCGCGCTCGGCACTAGCGGCGCCGCCGGCGGGCGGGGCCGCCGCCGGCGCAGCGGCGACCCTGTCAGAATCAGCGGCGCGCCAGCACAGATCCGCTCGGGAGCAGGCGATCGTGAGCTCCCGACGGTCGTGGCCAAGGCGCGGGCTCAAGGGTTTGCGGCGAAGAGCGGCTGGTCCTGAAAAACAACTCCGCGATTCTGACGGTTCTGCTGGATGTCCATCTGCAGGCCTGCAAGGTGCCGAACGGGGCGGGCACGAGCAGCCCGCGTGAGCGACCCTGATGACTGCGGAGGAGTGGGTGGATGGACATGCGCTGCGGAGGCGACCCCATCCCCACCGCCAGCCACGACAGTATAGACGCGACCGCGCGCCCATGAGAGGAGGGCTGATGCGCCTGCCCATCAAGTGAGAGAGGCTCTGCGCCTACGGCTGCAGAGATGCGCCCCGATGGGGGGCGCCTTTTGCGCCCCTTCCGCGAGGGGGCTGCACGGGCTTCCTGCGAGCTGGACGGGGGCTCGATCCCTGGCCCTGCCCAGAGAGGCTCCAGGGCCCGCCAAGCCTGGAGCCGAACGCCCGCCAGCCTTGTGCACAATCTCGCGAGCGAAAGCGCCCCCTGTTGCAGCGGCTTGTCTCCGCTTCTCCGGGCGCGCGGTCACATGGCTGAGCTCGAGAGCTGCATCCCCAATATCATGCTGTAGAGCGAAGGCGATGCGCAAGACTATCTCGAGGGCCGCCAACAATCCACACAAGAGGATAGCTCGAGGTCCCGCGCCAACTCCGCCCTCTTACCCGGCGGGGCAGCAGCGAGGCTATCACCGTCGGGATATGCTGGCCACTCCGCCTCGCTCGTGTCGAGTAGTTTGCCACCAAACGCTCTGTTGAGGCACTGTTTGACGGCAAGGATGCGGATGATACGGTTTACCTTTACCGTTCCACATCAAGCCCCCTGGACTCTGCATTGGAATCTTTGCCCCCCTGAACACTGCACGGAAGGCTCCAAAAGATGTGAAATGAAGTATCCGTTCAAGTCTGCATTCCCCCTGCGGCCCGCACGGGCCACTTGAGGCAAATGACTACGGAGGATAGAAGCAAGCAGGAGAAAGGACGGAATGAGGGAAGCATCGCCAGCTGATGCTGCAAGTGCTCGTCAAGATTCCTGGAAAACTCCTCTATTACTGGGGTAAAAAAAACTCCCCGCGTCCAGCGGATTCGACGAGTGCTGCGCACTCACTCGTTTATCTCAGCGTGCTCGCAGGATGAAGGGGGGATCACGAACTCTTTCTCGTGCCAGCCAATCTCTTTCTCAAGCCAGTCCTGAGTGCCGTCGGCAACAAGTACGTCCCATGTGCAACCTTTATCACAGTCTGTCAACATCCACGAGGCATTTCTCTGAACCAGCGTTCCAACTCGTTCACCACGGTACGGATATGGAGAGAAACCCAGAACACGATCACCAGCAATAGGCTCTCGAAAGTGAAATGCATCTCGAACGCGGACCCATCCGTTTCCAGGGGGCGGGTGGAACTCGAAGAGAGGCTTGTGGTTTGGATCCACGGCAGGCGCAGCCACTGCAGCGCACCCGGCATCGAGGGCAACCTCGCGCTGCCCCTCGTTCTCGGCGCCCGAACCGATCTCGAAGCAGACGGCGCCCCCTGGATGCTGCACAGTCAATCGTTGCTGATTGCGCGTGTCTTCTCGGGCCTCCGCACATCCCTTCCCGCAGCCGTCAATCTGGCTGGCAACAGCGGCGACGCCTTCGGGCTGGCCGAAAGCGTCTGGAGGAGTGGTTGTGCCCGCTACCACGGCTTGGCCGGGTGCGTTTGCCACCGCGGCTTGGCTGGGGGCAGCGTCGGCGGCGCTTGGCGCCTCGGCGGCGCCGGGCATCTTGAAGCAATCGTTGAGCGAGTTCTGCATCGTGCACGAGCTCTCCTGCATCACCTTCAAGTTCTTGTTTGTGAGATCGATCATACTGTTGACCTCGTTCTTGAGATTCAGGATGGCTTTCATGAGCCCCTCCGCCTTGTCTTGCGAATGGGGCTCTTCGTGCACGACCTGACGAGCTGAGAAGCGTTCCTGCTTTTTCTCCAAACGTCGCTGCATGGCTGTCGGTAACCGTCTATGGTGCGCTCGTCGCCCATGTGTCGTCGCTGGTGTAGCCACTGCAGTGAAGTCCCTTAACTCAGAATATTCATAGAGCTGTTTCGGCTGATTACCAGTAGTTTGCCACCAAACGCTCTGTTGAGGCACTGTTTGACGGCAAGGAGAATGATGATACGATTTATCTTTACCATTCCACATCAAGCCCCCTGGACTCTGCATTGGGGTCTTTGCCCCCCTGAACACTGCACGGAAGGCTCCAAAAAATGTGAAATGAAGTATCCGTTCAAGTCTGCACTCCCCCTGCGGCCCGCACGGGCCACTTGAGGCACATGACTACGGAGGATAAAAGAAAGCAGGAGAAAGGACGGAATGAGGGAAGCATCGCCAGCTGATGCTGCAAGTGCTCGTCAGGATTCCTGGAAAACTCTTTTTATTGCTGGGGTGATAAAGACTTGTCGTCCTCGTCGGACTCGGAATCGCTGGGGGAGAGATGGAGGAAGGAGGGGGGAGAGGAACAGGGAGGATGAGGCAGAAGGGCGGAGGATGAGGGAAGGGCCGATCGGCATTCAAGAAAGTAAGGGTCAGGCCTCAACGAAGCGGGTCTATAGCCGCAGCCGATGCGGAGGCAACAGGACCCAAGGCGGCCCCCCTTCCTGCTTAAGAGCCTTCTGCGAGGAAGGCGAGGGGAGAAAGGGACGGATCTCGGCACGCCAAACACAAGGACAGTGCCGATGGAGATGATTGTCCAAGAACAATCGCTGCCCGGTGCTGAAAGGGACTGCCGTTTCGCAGGCGACATATTGCAAATGTCGATGCGACGGCGACAGCGGAACAGCTTAAAACACAAGAAAGAGAGCGATCAATGCCCGCATTCGTTTCGACCCCAAGCCAGCCCTCTCGGACAGATGTCCTTTCGCGGTGGCCCGCAAGCACACCACCAAACGACCCAACGGGTCCCACTGGAGGCCTCCAGCCTCCCCTGCCCTGGGCAGCATCCTCGGTCACCGATCCCCTCCTGATCGCCGCCTCCCCTTCTGCCCCCCCCCCCTCCTCCCTCCTCCCTCCTTCCTCCCTCCCCTCTTCCCTTATTATCACCGCCCCCCTCTCCTCCTCGTCCACCTTCTCCCCGTCATCCCGCTACGCCTCCAGGCACTTCGACCGAAGGTGAGACGGGCTACATCAGCAACATAAAACATCCACATCAACATGTTCCCCCACCTCGAAATCAACATATGTCTCGACCGTCCTGTCCTCCTCCTCCTCGTGGTTGTCCTCCTTGTCTGCATTGCCTCGGAGCCAGTCCAATACAGACATGGACATTCTTATCTAACCTCCATATTGTACCCCGACACGCACCTCCGGAGATGTGCGCCAGGGCTTCAGGTTTGAGCCTCGGTCAGGCACCTGCCAAGTGAAGGGGACAACCGAATCAACAGGCCGCTAAATTTCGCTCGGCCCTTCCTTCACGTTCTTCGCGAGCAATTCGGCCCACGTGGTGAATGAGTAGTCCCTCTCGGGGTAAGCGAACAAGTTGAAGACAGGCATCATCACCTGTACGACTGTCGAGCCGGAGAGGCATTGCCAAGCATGCCACGTGCCGCGTTCATCCTAAAGAGTGCGTCCCTTCCACGAGCTAGGACCTCTGTTATACATGGGTACGCTGTGTCTCCCCAACTTTATTCCACCCAGACTCTGGTACACATTTCTCCCCCAACAATCCCTCCCCCCCACGGATGCATCCTCTCATCCCTGCCCCTTCTACCCGTACCCTACCTTATCTGCAGTCTTCTCTCGCTCCCCACAGATGTAAAACTCAAACTGCCCCATTCCTGCTTTTGTCCTTCACCAGTTCTACCCCTTATGCTGGACCCAATTTCTCGAACAATCTCACCACGATGCTAATGGTCAGAAAGGCGACGCGCTGTGCCAGCACGGTGTTCAACTGGTTGGTAATCACGGTCGCCATCTTCACCTTTTGAAACCACTCCCTCCTCCTTCTACTCCTCTCACTTCTCACATTAACACTTGTGCTCATTGGATGAATCCTCCTGCTCATCCCGCCCCTGCTCGTCCTCTTCCAACCCCTCGCCTCTCCCCTCCGTCTCGTCCACTATGCCCATGCGCTCCTCATTTTCTCTCCGTGCCTGGGGTTTCCCTTCTGTCTCCAGAAAGGAGGAGGAGGAGCTGAAAAACGAGAGCCGAAATAGAAAGAGCACGAAGAGACTACCGACGGACACCGAACGGAAAACGACGGAACTTGGTGCAGTCGGGTAGGCAGGAAAGACGTGGTGCATTGGCTTCGCCCGAGCAATGTTCGCCATTCGACCTTCAGATAAGATGGCCGCCGCCAGAGACATTGCAACACCGAGGGTCAGGAGATGGGCTGTCATCCCCCAGAGTCAGGTCCGTCACGTCTCACCTGAGACGCATCTTCTGTCACCGTGCCCGTTCTTGGCGACTCGCAGTATCGAAGCTGTGCAAAACCATGTGGCTGGCCGTTCTATCTGATTTGCGAGCGAGCTCGACGTACCGCCAGCGTCCTGGATTCTGACCCGATGACCTTCGACAGGCGTGAGAAGATGTTGTTCGACTGGAGTGTCCCAAGGGCAGGAGATTTGGCAGATACAGCAGCCAGCAACAGGGGGTATGTCGACCCTTAACGCAAACTTCGTGGGGCATTCGAAAGGACCAAAACTGTGGGGTCCAACTCGGGGACACACGACGGGGGACGTTCATCCTCGACAGGGTTGCGTCTGAGCAGCCCCGAGGGTGTATCCCCGAGTTCCTCTTCTTGTCTGAACGTTTTTTTTTTTGTTCGTGGAAGGGTGGGGGGGTGGAATCGAGAAGTCACCTGCGAGCCAGTTCTGCCGAGCGCAACCTCGGTAACACGCGGCCACTTCCAAGCTTCGCCCCGCTCGCGCCCCGCCGCGAGCACTGGCCGTGTCCGGAACCGGAACACGTGCGACTTCGTGGCTCGTCTGCCGCTCGAGGTGGACGGGCGGCGGTGCCACGGCGGATAAGCCAGCAACACCAGCAGCAGCGACTCCCCCTCCCGTTTCCCTTCCCGACAACCCGAAGAGATAGAGGAAGAATGCTAGTCAGCGTGGAACCCAAACAGCAATTTCTTGCAATCCTGTGCAATCGAGGTGTTGCAATCAGCGCGGTGCAATCTCAGTGGCGCAGTCTACGTGGTGCAATCTATGTGGTGCAAAATCGTTTGTGGAACTCGCAAATGTCAACTCCGGTGTTCGCGCAATTATCCCACTCACCCACCCGCAACTTGTCTTGCAAAACACGAACAGCGCGATTGCCATGAATGCTGGGTGTTGGCCGGTGCATCTCCGCGGCCGCGCCAACCCGCACATGCACTTGCGCGCGGCGGCCACCTAGTTTGGCGCGACCGACGCCGCGGTGGCGCTGACCGCTGGGCACATCCCACGGGCGCTTCAGTGCGAATCGGGGAGTTGGGCGGGCGCGGTATCATGGCAACGCCGAAAACAGTAGACAAGATGATGATAGTAGCGATGCTGGTGGCGATGTTGACAACGACGACGGCACGGCCAATGACGGCGCCGATGCTGATCACGCCGACGACGATGACGGCGCCCTCGCATCGGTGATGAAGGTTTTGGAAGGAGTTCGACATACACGCGCGCGCGGCCGACGCGCGAAAGCGGCCTGCAAGGTATTATGTGACACGGATCGTGCCCCCCCCCAGCACGCGCGCAAGGGCGTTCGAATGATTTCGGCATGCGGCGCGAGGAGGCTGGCTTGGCATGATTCAATGGAAATGTTGGAAAACCATGTTTATGTAAAGAAATCGCAAGAACGCGCGCTCAAGTCCTTTTTGAAAATCCGTGTTGCGAAACCATATGTCTTCATTTGGTGTCGCGACGCTCGGTTTTGAAATCCTTACGGAACCTAAGCTTTTTGACACATCTCGGCATGCGAGCGCGACGACGCGCGCGCGCACTTCGTCCCATTTGTTGCAAAAAGGTTTCTCGCGACAGCACCGGTGCAAGGGAGTTCGAACGATTTCAGCATGCGCGCGCGGATCCCGTGTGGTAGAATTGCATGAACACGTTGATCAATTACTCGACGCGGAGCTCCCCATATGTGCATCTCATTCTCTTGGTCATCTTTCTATGGGTATATTTCAATGAGCGCCCGTGCGCGAGGGCGAACAGCTCGCTCGAGACATTCCCACAGTCTGCAGGCATGAGTGCGACCAATAGCAAATCTGAGAGCGACTGATTCTGAGTGTGAGTTAATCTGGGTGCGACTGAGCCTGGGTTTGAGGGGGTATGCGTGTGAGTAAATATGAGCGCAAGTGCGTCTGTGTGCGAGTGGGTCTGAGTATGGACGAATCTGAGTGTGAGCCAGTCTGTGATTGAGCGGATCGTAGCATGATGAGTCTGAGCATGAGTGAGTCTGGGCCCGAGCGGGCCCGAGTGTGAGAAAAAGTGTGTGCCAACGAATCCGTGCGCGAGTGAGCCGAGTGTGATTGGGTATGGATGTGAGGCAATCTGAGTGTGAGTCGGTCTGCGTTTGAGCGGACCGAAGGATGATGAGTCTGAGCAGGAGCGAGTCTGAGTATGAGTGGTTCTGAGCGTGAGTCTGAGTGTGAGTAAGTTTAAGTATGGATATGAGCGAGTCTAAGTGCGAGTGAGCCCGCGTGCTACTGAGTCTGAGTATGATTGGGTATGAATGCAGAAGAGTGAAGGAGAGCGGAGAGCGAAGGAGAGTGAGGCGGAAGCGTTTGAGTAAAACCTAAAGCCTTGGAACATCGAACCTCGATCGTCTGGCCCTGGCTACTCGAGTTGCCCACGTCCTCCTCCTCCTCCTCCTCATCATCATCATCATCATCATCATCATCATCCCCTTCCTGCTTCTGCTCCTACCGTGTTCATGCTGTCCTCCTTTTCCTCCTCCTCCTCCTCGTCCTCTTCCTCCTCCTCCTCCTCGTTTCCTCCTTCTCGTCCTCCTCCTCCTCCTCCTCCTCTTCCTCCTCCTCCTCCTCCTCTTCCTCCTCCTCCTCCTCCTCATTCTCCTCCTCCTCCTTGGGAGTGCTGAAACCAGCGAATCGCCTGAGACATCCTCCAAAAAACTGTTCCGAAAACGACAGATGCCCAGCATCATAACGGCCAAACCGCCTGAGACATCCCCGCAAACTGGGCGCGAACGTCCTCCAAATCTGCTCCGGAAGCGAGACATGCTGGAAGAGAAAATGGCCAAACCGCCTGAGACATCCCCACAACATCCCGCGAAAGGGGCCGAGTGCAATACCCCCCCGCCGCTCCCCGTAGGAGTGCTGGAACCAGCGAATCGCCTGAGACATCCTCCAAATCTGCTCCGGAAGCGAAACATGTTGGAAGAGAAAATGGCCAAACCGCAAGAGACAACCCCACAACATCCCGCGAAAGGGGCCGAGTGCAATACCCCCCCGCCGCTCCCCTTAGGAGTGCTGAAACCAGCGAATCGCCTGAGACATCCTCCAAATCTGCTCCGAAAGCGAAACATGTTCGAAGAGAAAATGGCCAAACCGCTTGAAACATCCCCACAAAATCCCGCGAACGGGACCCCGTGCAAACACCCCCCCCGCCCCCCTGAGAGTGCTGAAACCAACGAATCGTCCGAGACATCCTCCAAATCTGCTTCGAAAGCGAAACATGCTGGAAGAGAAAATGGCCAAAACGCATGAGAAATCCCCACAACATTCCGCGAACGGGACCCCGTGCAAACACCCCCCGCCGCCCCCCTTAGAGTGCTGAAACCAGCGAATCGCCTGAGACATCCTCCAAATCTGCTTCGACAGCGAAACATGTTGGAGGAGAAAAAAGCCAAAACGCCTGAGACATCCCCACAAAATTGCGCGAACGGGACCCCGTGCAAACGCCCCCCGCCGCCCCCCTTGAGCCACAGAACCGCCTGAGACATCCTCAACATCAGTGTGTGTGAGTCATCTGATGAGTGGACCTGACAGAGTGAAGTGAGTGTAATGAGTACAAGTATGAATGAGTCTGATTGATGAGTGCGTCTAAGTGATGAATGAGTCTGAGTGAAACTGAGCATGTGGGAGTCTGAGTGGTGATTGAGTCTGATTGATGAGTGAGTCTGGTTGATAAGTGAGTCTGAGTGATGAGTGAGACTGATCTGAGTGATGGGTGAGTCTGAGTGATGACCCAGTCTGAGTGATGAGTGATTCTGCCTGATGAGTGAGACTGAATGGTGAGGTGGGTTGGTGTTCCTTCTTCCGGCGCGGTCAGAATCAGAGTATAGGGTAGTCGTCTGGTGAGAAGCCGAGAAGAGGAGGAGGGGGAGGAGGTGTGTTTTTCCTTCCGGCGCGGTCACAGTAAGAACAAGAACCCCATACTTAGGATATGGGGAAAACGAGGGCTTTCTTAAGAATTCGCAAAAACGGGCGCGCAAGCTTGTTTGGAAATCCGCGTGGCGAAACCATGTTGTATATATATATATATATATATATACATACATCTACATCTACATACATATATATATATATATATAGATATATATATATATATATATATATATATATATATATATATATATATATGTGTGCACATCATATGAATAAATAGGCCCCCCCCCCCCGCCCTGGGCCGGCCCCACCCCGCAACCACCGGCGGCTGCCCGCTGATGCCCCGCCAGCTTCGCTCCCCAGGGGCGGCCCGGCGAGGCCACGAGGGTGCCACAACGAGCAAAGAGGGTTCCAAGAGGCGAGGCGAGGCGAGGGCGCCAGAGTCGGTCACACAGGTGTGCCCGTGCCCTTTGGGCAGGGCGCAAGAGGCCGTGGCCTCAGATCGTGTCCGAATAAACGTCGTGGACGAAGTTCCTCAAGAGCCAGTGCACAAACCAGGCAAGGAACGATATGCGTGCGAGCCGGGAGAAGTAGAAGGCGTGACAGAGGATGTAGGATGTTCCAAGAGGCTCCCAAAACGGCGCAAAAAGATCCCGAGCTGCCCAATACGGCCCAGGAGGACTTCCAGAGCACTCCCAAAAGGGACCCAAGATGCCCATCTCAGTAAATTCTTATTGGGGAAGCGTACATTTTTAGCATGTGCGGCTTTTCAGCTGTCGCGGCTTTCAAGACAGGCCAAGAGGCTCCCAAGACTTCCCCAAGACAGCCCAAGACGTTCCCAAGAGGCCCCCGAGCCAGCCCAAGAGGGCGCCAACAAGTTGGTCCCAAGACGGCGCCCAAGGCGGCACAAGAAGGCCCCGAGTCGCCCAAGACGGCCCAAGATGGCCCCAAGACGGTCCAAGAAGGCTCCGAGTCGTCCCAAGAGGCCTCCAAGAGCCCTCCCAGGAGGGCACCAAGAAGCCACAATCGATGAAGTCCTACGGGGACGCGTTCATTATCATATGCGACTTTTCGGCCTTCACGGCTTTGAAGACGGCCCCAGAGGCTCCCAAGACTTGCCCACGAGAGCCTAAGACACTCCCAAGAGGCCCTCAAGACAGCTCAAGAGGGGGCCAAGACGGCAGAAGGGCTGCCCAAGACGACCCAAGTTAGCCCCAAAACGAGCCCCGAGAAGGCCCAAGAAAGCCCCGAGTCGCCCAAGACTGCCCAAGATGGCCCCAAGAAGGCTCCGAGACGTCCCAAGAGGCCTCCAAGAACACTCCCAAGAGGATCCCAAGAGACCAAATTCGTTATATAGATGTATGCATGTATATGTATGTATGTGTGTATATGTATGTATGTATGTATGTATGTATGTAGGTAGGTAGGTAGGTAGGTAGGTAGGTAGGTAGGTAGGTAGGTAGGTAGGTAGGTAGGTCTGTATGTGTGTGTCTGTATGTATGTATATATGTATGTATGTACGCAAGTACGTACGTATGGATGCCTGTGTGTACGTATGTATGTATGGATGGATGGATGTATGTATGCATGTGAATTGTTATGTATGTATCTGCTCCAACTGTCGGCCCTGTTTTTTTCTCCGCGTTGGTTGCGCTGTGCGCAACGGTAGCTGATCCAGCCCGCAGGTATCCCGCATGATGGGGAAGACAATGTTCAGGCGGTCGTTTCTACACGTGATCGTATATTCCAGCTGTCGACCCTGTTTTTCCCTCCGCGTTGGTTGAGCTGTGCGCTGCGGTAGTTGACACAGGCCACAGGTATCCCGCATGATGGGGAACACAATGTTCAGGCGATCGCAATCGGCACGATAATCGCAAGTGCTAGCCTTCGAATGCAGGTGCCTGCGTTGCATTGCCTGTCGCCGGCTGGCCAGAGTCCGTTTGATATAATTGCTAATTCTTGAATTCGAGCTAGGGTTCCCCATCTGTCGGCCAATGACAGACGTGCTGCCGAGGGCCTCTCTTTGAATGCGAGCACGGTTCCCATTATTGTTCTACTGTGTCCAAGGGGCGGACGCGGATTCTCTCCCTCTGCAGGTCACATGTATTATCCCCTTCTTTCTTTCACTATCTCTCTCTCTTTCCTGTCCGCCTCCTTTCCACCTCCTTCTCCCCTTGTTATATTATACTTCCTCTCGTCCTGCAAAACGCTTGAAGACTTCCCACATGGAGGAGACAGACATACACACATATCAACATATATATATATATATACATACATAAAAAGTACGTACGTACGTGCGTACGTATGTGTGTATATATGTGTGTGTATGTGTTTCAGCTGTCGGCCCTGTTCTTTTTCTCCGCGTTGGTTGCGCTGTGCGCAACGGTAGCTGATCCCCGCAGGTATCCCGCATGATGGGGAACACAATGTTCAGGCGGTCGTTTCTACACGTGAGCGCTTTTTTTTCAATTGTCGACCCTGTTTTTCCCTCCGCGTTGGTTGCGCTGTGCGCTGCGGTAGTTGACACGGGCCACAGGTATCCCGCATGATGGGGAACACAAAATCGGCACGATCATCGCAAGTGCTAGCCCTCGAATACAGGTGCCTGCATTGCATTCCCTGTCGCTGGCTGGCCAGAGGCAGTTTGATGCAATCGTCATTTTAATTCGAGCTAGGGACCCCGTTCTGTCGGCCAATGACAACCGGAATTTCCCCCCCCTCCCCATTCCCCCCTCCCCCTTCGTTTTAAAAGGCCTGCGACATTTTGACCCCTTCCGGGGCCTCCCGGCCCCCCCCTCGCCGCCGTTCAAAACAGCTCCGGAGGCCACCAACAAAACGATCAGAGCGGCCTGACAGGGCCGAAGACGCACGAATATTGTTTCAAGACGGCTCAAGAGGTTCCGAAGACTTCCCAAGAAGGCTCCTGCGCCCCGAGAGAGACCCAGGAGGCAAACGTTGTCCCATCCTTACGGCAAACACGCATTTTAGCATATTCGCATTCTGGGTCTTCACAGCGTCCAAACGGCGGCTTAGAGGCCCCAGAGATCACCCCAAGACGTCCCAAGAGGCAAGAGGGCCCCAGGAGAGCCCCAAGACGGTCCAAGAGGCGCCCAAGAAGGCCCAATAAGGCCCCAATAGAGATTCACGAGGGGGAATCCAAACTGACATGTCGAGATCTCCGCTCCAAGTGGCAGACCCCCAAGAGGCCCCCAAGGGCTCAAAAAGAGGCCCCAAGAGGTCCCCAAGAGGCCCCAAAGAAGCTTCAAAAGTGGCTCCACGAGGCGCCCGAGAAGCATGCCAACAGACAGGTATCCGAGAATCCTCTGCCCCAAAACTCAGGCACAGTAGCGATATGAGCCGAAGGCTATGGACAAGCCAGCAATTGGCTTGGCGACGGATCCATCCCTATGCAGTCATGTGTAGCGCGGGGCGCGGGTCTCTCTTCATACACTGCGCGCCGCGGGGCATTGCGGAAATGGGGCTGCTGCGGAGCACGCGTGCACGGGTTCGCTGAAATCTTTGTGGGGCACGGTCCACGTGAAGGGTGTGCCGAATAACTCGGATGCCCCCGAGCGAACACGCCCACTGAGGCCGCAGGTCGACCTCCTTTGGGCACGACCCGTGCGAGGCATGTTCCGAAATGGGCGGGGGGACGCCATCCGAAGCTGCCCATTGGTGCCATAGGTGGAGCTCCTTCTGGGGCATGATTCGCGTGACGGGTGTGCCAGCATGTGGGGGGGGGGGAGGGGGGGGGTGCTGTACGAACCTTGTCTCTGGGCCTTTAAGTGTTCCTTCTGTGTACGGTCTGCGTGGTGGGGTGTGCCGCAATGGGCGGGGGGGCGTAATGCGAACCCTGCCTCTGGGGCCATGGGTGAAGATCCCTGTGGGCCACGACCCGTGCGAGAGGTGTGCCGAAGTAGGCGGGGGGCATTCGAACCTTGCCCCTGGGACCGTCCGTGGAAGTCCCTGCGTGCCACGATCCGTGCGAGAGGTGCGCCGAAGTAAGCCAGGCGACGCTATGAAGCTCCCCTCTGGTGCTGCAAATGCAGGTACTTGCTGGGCAAGATCCGCGTGATGGGGCGTGCCACTATGCGAACCTTGTCTCTGGTGACATAGGTAGAGGTCCCTGTTGGGCGCGATCCCTTTGAGGGGTGCACCAGCATTGGCGGGGGGACTCTTAAACCAAGCCTGTATCTGGGGCTGTCGGTGGAGCTCCCTGAGCTGCACGATCCGTGTGACACTATGTGTCCTCCAACGCCGAGCACTTTAGACTACAACCAGAACTTGCTAGAACCTAAGCGCGCGAAGCGCGCGAGCGTGGTTCTAGTATAGACATATAGTTGTTTGGACAGTCGATTTTGAAATCCGTACGAAATCCAAGGTTCTTGCTAGATTTCGGCATGCGCGCGACGACGCGCGCGTGTGTACTTCGTCTCATCTGTTGCAAGGGAATGTCGAAAACTGCTGATTTTGTATCAACGAATGTGCGCGCATAATATTTGTTGCAAGGGATGACGGGGGGGTCGATACCGGCCTGCCTGGGATGGTATGAATTCAAATTTAGGATGGACGATGGGACATAATCACATGTAAATTGCAATACCAAAAAGGGAACGGCAACCCTGGGGTGGATATAATATAATTTCTTGAAAGAAAAACAATCAATCCGAATCGGTGCAGAGCGGTGCAAAAAGCGCTGCGAAACAACGCAGAGCAACGCAGAATGCAACGCAATGAAAAGCAGTCCAAAGCAATGCAAAGAAATGCACAAAGCAATGAAAAACAACAAAAAGCGACGTAGAGCAACGCGGACCGCCAACGCGGCCCAGCGGCGACGGCGGCGACGGGAGGCGACGGGCGGCGACGAGCTGGCGGGACTGCCTCCGGGGCCCAGCAGCGACGGGCGGCGACGGGCCGCGACGAGCTGGCCAGACCGCCTCTGTGGCCCAGCTACTTGAAAATAAAAGTGAGAACTCTTAGTTAAAAGTGCAAACAGTGTTTGGGGAAACAGCTGCACAAACATGAGGTTTCGGAGCTCCGCGCGGATCTCCTGGATATGCGCTGGAGCCCCCTGGCGGATCCTCTGGCGCCGCCTCGCTCGCCAAGGAAGGGTCCAGCGCCGATCCAAGAGATCCGCGGGAACCTCTGAAAATTTATGTTTGTGCCGCTTGCTGTTCTGTGAGAATGAACCCGCGCGCGAACCGTGCTCCCGCCTTCCTCTGGTCGGTCTGCCGGACGTACAAGAACGGCATGAACCGGAGGATCTTTAGCACCCGGCTCAGGCGCCCCGCGCGGGCGCCCAGCTTCGCCGCGCGCGCTGCGCGGACGAGAATGACATTGTCGCTGGCGCTGCTGTCGCGCACCTGCAAAGAGAGACGTGAGAGAATAGAAAGGGGAGGCAGAGCGCTCGAGGAGAAAGAGGAAGATAATGGGTGAGGTATGGGGAGAAAGGCAGGGAGGGAGAGCGAGAGGAAGAGAGAGAGAGAGAGAAGAGAAAGAGAGAGAGAGAGAGAAAGAGAGAGAAAGAGGAAACGAGAGACATACAAACATATTATGAGTGAGAGGCAAGGAAAGAGAGAGAGAGAGAGAGAAGGAGAGCAAGTACGCATGCAAGTACCCGAACGTATTGGCTACATTCATACATGAGAACGTTGGACAGTACTTGAGAAACAACTCGAGGGATGCTACTTGCCATACGCATGATGGTGCAACAAAAAATGGTTGCAACGCAGGGGATGCAGTCCATGAGGTGCAGCGCATGGCGTTCAACTTATGAGGCGCAACCTATAGGGGCGAGGTCCCATGTGCGGGACCCTACGCACCTACGCATGGGACATCAGGGCTACAAGAGGGCGCAGGCTGCAGTGGGCGATGGCACTTTCTGGGCACCCTCTTGAAGAGAACTAAAGCTCCCGCACACGAGGACAAGAGAGAGAGGGCGCTGCTGGTTCGAGAAGATGAACAGTAGACAGGACGCATGCCCGCCCTGGGCGACCCCGGTTCTGCCAGGACGTGTATGCACACGTGTACAAGCAAGCAATTGTCAAAAACCCTGGATCCCTCCAAAATGGTATCCCTTAGGGGCACATCTTATACTTCCGCCGGCTTTCGCTGGCTTCCGCTGGCGGAGGCGGCCTCGTTTTACTTCCGCTGGCTTACGCCGGCCTTCCACCGTTATCTGCGGGGAAGAGATGCCAACTCCTTCGATCTTCGGAGAAGAAAACCTTCTCTGGAAAGCCTAAAACATATTCATATATATATATATATAGAGAGAGAGATGCACAAATATGTCACGTGAGTGTATGGCGAAGCAGCACAAATCAGGGCAACCTTCTCCGGAACCGTGGCGTCGGACCCCAGCATGTAGGAGATGTCCTGAGCAGCGCCGGTCCGTGGCTGCGGTCCGGCAGACCAAAACTGTTCAGCCGACAGCCGGCCACGAGTGCCAGGGCCAGGACAAGGAGGAGAGGGCCAAGAGGCTCCTAGTCACCGTGCTACCGTAAGGAGCGCTTTATCAGAAACGACGGAGCTTACCTGGCCACGCCGACACTTGGCCGCGAATAGTTTCCTCGACCTAGATCCCAGATCTGAGGAGCGGCCCGATAATCGCAGCCCCTCCATGAGCCCAAAGTAGTCCTTGATTCAGCGTCTTGGCCGCCTTCTCCCCCCACGGCAGCGCGTGCTGAGTTTCGGCAAGCGGCATCCCCGAAACGATTGCTTGCTTCCACGCCTAAGATCTGAAGTATTGTCCTTGTGCGAAGCACACGGAGTAACAAGTCCACCTATTCAATGTTTTTTGTTCACACTCACTCGCAGCGTCGACCATACTGGACATACGCAGTGTGTGTGTGTGTATGTGTGTGTGTGTTTGTGTGTGTGTGTGTGTGCGAGCACCCCATGACGTCCTCCAACCGATAATACAACACACACACACACGCTGAGGGCCAAATGCGTCGCCGAGCGTAGCATAATCAAAAACGCCGATCGCTCCGCACCCGAAGCAAGAAGAGGAGGAGGCCTGCCGCACACAGCGAAATCGCGCCAGAGGCTGAAACAATGAACCTTGGAGTATGGAGGCGGCTCGCATCTCCATCCAACACTGAAGAAACATCGGGCTCGAAATCAAGCAAAGCTGTGAGGAAGGAGCAGGACGACGCGCAGAGGAAGCAAGGAGGCGGCGCGCAAGGAGCACCACAACTAGCCGGCCAAGTGGCAAACATCTGCTGCACTCCCCAGGCTTCTGAATGCGGCCCTACCGCATATCAAAAAGGCCACGCTGTCGGCGTAGGCGGCCGGCACCACAAGACCATACGGGCTCGTGGCGACTCCCTGGTCAGGGAGCGGCCGGCGAAACCAGACCGTCCATCACCAACCGCCTCCGCGTGCACCGGCGCAAGCGCCAATTACTGCACCTCGAGGCGGGTTGGGGGGGAGCGAGGAAGAGACCGGAAGAGGAGGCGAAGAGCAGGCCAACACCGAACGGGGACAGCCAGCGCTCCGCCCCCGGGAGGCGCGAGCGGGAGGAAGGAAAGGGAGGGGAAGAGGCAGTTGTGCCTTAACTCGCCTGACCCGCGGCCTCCGCCGCCCTGCCGAAAGGTCTGGGGGAGCACCGAACTCTCGTCAAAACGTGACTTTCAAATGTCATCGAGTCGGAGGCCCGGCGCTGCACAAGGCCTTGTAAAATGCACGAAAAACCACGCGACGCACGCGAGAAGGAGTGGTCAGCACGGCTGCAGAGAAACCTCTGGACAATGCCGGGAAGTAGCTGCCCAACGGGCGGAAGAGGGAAGAGGAGGAGGAGGAACGAGGCGAGAGAGAGAGAGAGAGAGACCAGCCAGAAGCCAGGAGCAGTTTCCAGGCCAACCTGCAATGGACGAGCCATCCCGCGCACCCTGTGACTGGAACAGTGGGCACTAGAGCTGGCCTAAAGACCGCGGAGGCCATCGCCCGACTGCTCGGCCGTCAGGGCGCCCACATGGCCGCGGCACTGCAAGCGCAGAGCAAGTGTCTGCGCAATTTCGACTCCACGGAAGCGAAGATATGAAACATCTACTGCAGGCGCACCGCCCTCGCAGCGCGACCCCTGTAACATGCAACCGCGGCTCCCGAAAACAGCGCCTGGCAGCGCCCGTCGTCAACTTTAAGCATCGCCCTGCCCCTGGCGGCCCTCCCGCGTGTACTCCGCGAAGGCCCCTCGATGTCCGCGGCTGGCAGGTCGCTGAGCGCCAGTAGTTGTAGCGCGGGTACAAGGCGTAAGCGCCGATGGCCGTGTCTCGGATTTTCGACGGCCCCCCTGCGGCAAGAAAGTGTCCAACGCCTGCGTCCGTGGAGCAGGTTCAATCGACAGGAACTGGGCGAACGGGCGCCGCTGGACTGGGCAACTGGCCAAGTGCTCGACGCTGTCCTGGCGCCCTCCGCAACCGAGGCGGCAGGGCGAACGTCCCTGGAAGCGCCGACTGGTGCACCAACCATTCAGTTGCAGCCGGATGCACGCCGCCAGGACGCGGGGCGGGCATTGCGCGGACACCACCGCCAGTGCAGTCTGAGCCCGCCCGAGACGCCGCCCTGGCAACAGCTGCAACGGCCATGTGTCCAGCTTGCGTCGCCAATGCCGAAGCGCCTCCACGCTGCGCGCTGGCGCGATGAGACGAGTGGCCTTGCTCTGCCAACGAGCGCTCTCCTCCCACCATGCGGGCCGCGGGCCAAATGCTCTCCTGGCAGCGCTCACGCGGTCGTCCGCCTTGGCGGTTTGCACCAGTAACGCCTGGTCTCGCCAGTCACGCAACCGAGCCAGTCTGTCGAGGGAGGTGGACGCGGGCACGGCGCAGTGAAGGCCCTGCAATGCGCGGCTCCGCTCGTGGACGCGTAGCTCGCCGGTGGCCCCCCATTTGGTTGCCCCGGCCTCGGCCGCGACGACTGTTCGCGCCGCGTCCTTCAGGGCGACGGGGACATGTAACTCTGTTAATTCCTTCAAGCAGCCAGGGCTCATCCAGCCGGACAGGCCCGGTAGCAGAGCTGAACACGCCCGCTTCTCCCAGTCTGCCCGGTGCGCTGGCGGGGCCTCGAACTGCTCCGCCAAGAGCAACACCGAAGCTAACGTGAACTTTGCAAGCATGGAGTGAGAGCTGCAGCCCAGCGCCCAGCCGGCCCCATAATTCAGCCCGCGCCAAAAACTTCTCCAAGGGCGCCTTCCAAAGAAAAATGCCCTTCCTGGCCCCACGTAGACGCCCGAAAATTTGGCGGCCCAGCGGCGCAAGCACAATCTTCGGCGCGTTTAGCGCCAAGCCCGAGATGCAAGCGAGCTCGTCGAAGAAGGCCTGGAAGTCCCCAGCGCGCGCCGGGCGCTTTCGGGTAGCACCGTCGCGAAGTCACCTGCCCAAGCTCGCAGCGTGGCGCGAGGGAAACGGAGGCTCAACCTGCGGAGGTAGAAATCCGCCGCCGCCGCTAAGAGCACAGATGATAACGTGCAGCCTGGCCTGATGCCCCGGGGGATGCTAAAGCCTGTCTGCCAGGAAGCAGCAGTTGTTCCAATAGAGACTGCGAACGAAAACGCGCAGCCAGGCGGGCCACCCAAGCGACGGGGAGAACTGCTGGAAGAATGCGCGTTCAGTCGAAGGGAAAGCCGGCGCGAAATCACAGAAAATCGCGCATGCCCCCTGCGCGTCCGCAGCTGCCCATAGCATTGTCTCGTCTGTGTTCTGCTGGTGCGTGATTAGCGGCGCCAGCGCAGGTCCAAACAAACGCCTCCCAGCGCTTGCCAGCGGCCTGTTGTGCTACTTCGTTATGTCGAGAGGGCGGGCGCCCCCTGGCAGAAAGTACTCCTCCCCGTTCTCCGTGGCGCCAGCCGCTCTCTTCGGCAAGAACAGCAACAGGCTCTCATTGAAGCTCGGCATGTGACGCCAGAAAAGCTCCTCCGCGTCGTCGCTGCTCAGCTCGACCAGAGCTTCATGGGGCACGTCCACCGCAAGCTCACCAAGCTGCTTCCAAGCTCAATATGGAATGCCACCCGGCCCAGGAGCGCTGCTGCCAGTCGCCGCGATCGCCTTCGGAACGCGCCACTTCGTGACCCGCGAGTTGCGCAGCGCCTCGTGCGAAGGTGCTTCTGGCGCGCGGTCAGCGGCGGGCGTCTCCCGGCAGGCCCGGCCCTCCGCCAACCACGTCTGAAGAAGCTGCTCGTCCACCCCTTTGGCCCGAAACACGTCGCTCCAGTGGAGCTGGAGAGTAGCTGCCAAATCGTCGGCCTCGGTGGCGAATTCGCCTGTCCTCCTCTGGACAGCCCTTGCTGCCCCGTCGCGGCCAGGCATCAACTTATATAGTGTGTGGCTATACTTTTTCGTGGCTCGGGCCGCTCGTTCCGCGTCGCCCCCCCGGGCCGCTGCCGTCGTCCTGCCGAGCTCGTCGAGCGCGCGCTGGCGGGCGAGCTCGATTGGAGAGTCGCGGAGACGACGTAACTGGGCAGACACATTGCCGCCGAACTCATAAGGGTTGTCTACCAGGTCCTTCAGGGTCAGATACATGTGAAGACAGCGGGGCGTTTGCGAGCTCCCTGCCGAGATGCATGGCGCCTTCCTGGATCGTTTCCTGAAGCAGGCGCAGGTTGCCAAGGCTGGCGTTGTCGAGATTGGTCTTTTTCTTCTCGTCGCATGCCAAGGCAACCCGACGCAAGAAGTCGTCGTGATTGATGACGTGGTCTGGTATGCCGCGGCCTGCCGCGACCAACTGCTGCGGGGTGCGACGCGAAGCCAAATCTGCCCGATGGTTTGATACATCTTCCTTCCATTCCAGTGCGACCGCCTTGATTTGCCGATCCTGCTCACAACAATGGTAAGTGACATAGATCCGGTCTAACCAGGCTCGCGAAGAAACGGCTGCATGGGTCATGCTGGGCTGACGAAGTTCATGAAAACTGCAAGGCTGCTCAATGGTCCTCCGAAAGTGGCCTTCTTCGGCCTGGTCGAGACGACCTGAAGCCGAAGCCGTAGGCAGCGCCCGTCGGTCGGCGCCCCGGGTGACCCAATTGAAATCGCCGCCCATCAGCGCGAGCACGGGTCGTGTCGGCGCCAAGGCCTGTGCAACTCTTTGACGGAGGTGAGCCCGTAGCTCCGGGAAACTCGAGCATTGGGGCCCGCCTCTCGGGGTGCACGCCATACAGATCCAATTCCGCGGTGACCGCCCCCGTGTGATAGTAAGCCACTACCAAGTCCAGCGCCCCAGCACGGCCACGGAGGGGTAGTTTTTCCGCGCGGCCCGGCCAGAAAGGCTCCCACACGGGTGTTTCAGACAAGTTCTGCAAGAAAGGCTCTTTCACAACAGTCCCAATGCCTGCATGGCCCGCGGTGGGCCCTGGCGACCACCAGGCTTGGCATCCCAACGGCGGTCGCCAAGCAGAGTGCGCTCCAGCCGCCCCATGAGCCTCTGTTATCAGCACGACGTCACTGCGCGACAACAGCGAAAGCAAATAGCTGTGCTTCACGTCCTGGCGGAGGGGGTCCGAGGCGAACAAAAACTTGAGCGTTCCACGCTGTGCAACTGAAATCGCCCCGGAAGTGTCCCGAAGTTGGGGAGGGCGCCAACTGGGCAGGCCGTGGCACCGATCGACCTGGTGGTAATATATGCTCGTCGTGGTGATGGCTCAGCGCACGTAGGAGGCGCCTCCGGCGATACAGACACAGCGGCAGGTCAGCATGAGGCGCGTCGCCGCGGCAAGGCGTCCAGAGGCCCATAGCAAAAGGCGGGTAGCACTGGGAGAAGACGATCTTCGTGCAGTTGACGAAAGTTGACGGGAAGCGCACATCGTGAACAAATCCTCGAATTATGTGGTCCAGGACCCTCGCAAGGATGAAGCTGGCGCGGTCAGGTTGCCCAGGCCCCCCGTCGAGGCACAGAGGCAGAAGATAACGTCAAGAATCCAATCCTGAAAGCCATCCTCAGTCCAAAAACGAATTCCACCATGCAAGTGCCCAGGCTGATCCAGCGGGCGGGGGGCACTCTGCCCCGTCTCTGGAGACCGTTTCCCGGCACCCGGCCGCTGTCCAGCGCATCGTTCTCCACTACGATGCCGACTGTTTCGTTGCCTATCTTGACCGTCTGGTCGTGCAAGGCTGCGTGCACTTTGCGCACCTCGTCCCCGTTGCGCAGGAAGATCCAGACCTTGCAAGGCGCAGCCGCAGAGTCCACGCCAGCCATGTGAACGTACTCCCCAGCCTGGGGAATAGTCTGTCTCCGCGATGCCCAGGTGCGTGGTAGCGCCGAGGTGGCTCATCAGCAGCCGCATGACCTCTGCGTCCTCCTTCCCGAGCTCACCCTTGATCGTGAAGTTGGTGATGTAGTCCGTCGCCGAGCTTTTCTTGTGACCGTGCCTGCGGGAAGCTGCCAAAGCTGCCGCGGTGGCTGCTGGGGTCGCCACGTCCCGGCCCCCATTGCGAGAGGGCCTCCATTACAGACGGGCGCGTGGGTTTCCGAACCATCCTCGCTCAGGACTCTGTCCACTGTGGCTGTCCACGTTGCGGCGCTGGCGTTTTCGTACCCAGGGCCAGCATCTGGGTGCAGAGAGCCCAACAGTGGCCTGCATGTCCTGGCGTCGCCATCTCCAGGATGAGCACCTCGCTTTGCGAGAACATGGAATGGAATCCTCAAACGGCGTCCAGCTGGCAACCCATGGCGGCGCACATGCCCGAGCAGCACTTCCGCGTGAAGGCCAGAGGCCGAGGAGTCAACAAATGAGGCCCACGCAGAGCCTCGGGCACGCTGTGCTGCTCCAGGGGCTCGGCCAGGGGCTCCCTCGCCAGTATCTGGTCATGGCCGGGGCCCTGGAGGCTCCGCAGAAGTGACGGGAGGTCCGTGCTCTGGAGGTCCACCGTGGCCCGACAAGGAGCCTGCACCGCCACAAGACAAGAGGCGGCGCATGCAGAGGCCGAATCCGGGGAAGGGCGCGAGGCCCATCGAACTCCAAGCGGAGAATCGCCAGGCGGTTCTGGACCACGCGGGGTCCAGCGGTACCTTTGGTGATGGTGTCCATGGGGGCCAGAGTGAAAGAGCAACGCCTCATCATTGATGCCCATTTTCCCCTCAGTAACGGATGCCACCAAAAGTCCAGGACCTTGTCTGTCGTCGTTAGCCCCGGGGACAGCTGGATAGTTGCCAGCATCCTGACGGATGTCGGTCGGCGATCTGCCAGGAGGCGGAGTAATGAAGCACTCAGTCTGACAAGGGCGTTCGTGTCATCTGGTGCCCACAGCCATACCTCCCGTCCCACCGTCCAATCCCACAGCTTGTCATCCCCCCTTCTCAGCCAGCGTCGCAACACCCCGAACATCAGCCAGAGTCTCCCGCGAGTAGCCGTCCAACTCGAAGATGTTGGACCACTGCGTGAGGACGAGCCGGCCTGGGGCGATGAGAGGTTTGGGGAGGAGCTCCAGAGCCTGAGAACCGAGCTCCCTGAACAAGGGGAAGGAGCTGAACTTCATCTTCCTGCGCTCCCTGAGGATTCCCGGGAGCTCCTTGCTGCAGTGCGCCGCTGCCTCCTGGACCTTCTGGACGAAGTTATGGACCAACTGCCGGTCCGCCAGCGGCCAGGAGGCCTGCTCCGCGAGGCTGGCCAGCATGGTGACGATGTGCTGTCGCCTGGCGATAAGGAGATCGTCCGGAGCAGGCCCCTCGTACATGGCCAGTCCCATGCGCCTCCACGGGTCGGCCGAGTCGTAGTCGAATGCGAGCCTGGCCAAGATCACCTTCAGCTGCACCCAAGTGTGCGGGTCGGGGATGCGTGCTTGTAGTAGCTGTCCAGACACGTCCATGGCTCTCACCAGCTCGAAATGCTATTAAATGTGTTAGGGGCTTCAACGCTGCTGGATCATAGCACTTCGCCACCACATCCATCTCCCCCTCTCCTCCTCCTTGCTCCCCCCGTCCGCACTCCCTCACTCACACCTCTCACCTCCCTTCTCCCCCCCTCATCAACCTCTTCCCGACGCGTACCCCATCCCCCTCATCTGCCTCCTCCTCCTCCTCACCCCCAGGAGGCTTGCTGAGGGGGCCACGAACAGCATCGAGAGAGTGCCGATGAGGTCCATCCAGAAGAAAAATCCCAGCGGGTAGGTGCTGTCCGTGAGAACCAACCCCACGAATTCGTACAGAAAGACCGCGAACACCGCGGTAAGCACAATGTCGAGCTCGGTGTTCGACGGGACCTGGCTTGTCAGAACCATGGCAGGAGTGACTCGCGTCTGAGGCGCCGTCAGAGCTACGATTCAGAACCTCAGCTGTGACACCACAGAAGCTTAAGACAACGCTGAGCCAGCATTGCGCGAACGGCCTCATGCCCGCGCGAAGGGTTTAGACACTTGGCAAAATTCCTGTCAGCGGCTCGATACAGGCTGAACCAAAACGACCCACTGGCGCAGGTCTTATTTGGATGCCCTCATGGCGCCGCTCCACCAGACCCCGAGGGGGCTCACGGGTTGGCGACAGCTCTTCCTGTAGCACCACCCAGGAGAGGAACCTCACCTGATTGACTGCGGGGCGCCGCTCTGCTGGACCCACATGTAGCCAGGAAGTGGCGACAAGTTTGCGTTTGGATGCCAATGTGGAGGCGCTCCGCTGGACTCCCGTGGTGGGGGGGCTGGAAGTGTCGGCCGTCAGCTCCGCGTTCGGCCGAAGCCAGGGGGAACCACGTATCCTGTGTATGCCCGTGTGGCGACGGCTGCTCCCCGCTAGACCCTCAAGGGAGTCAGGAAGTGGGCGGCAACTCTACGTTCGGCACCACCGGAAAGGCCGAAGTCTCATCTGGGGGCCCATACGGCGGCGCTCCGCCTGAACCATCTAAAAGAAACTTTCCTCTGAGAGTCGGGGTAAGATGCCAAAGGAATTAAGGTCTCATGTTCACTACGCTCAGTGGTAGAGGGTATGGGATGAGACATCGATGAAACAATATGTTATCCGTTAAGCAAACGCACTCAAGTATAGGAAGGGAGGAGACCGGCCGGCCGACGCCCGGACGCGGGCGCGCAGCGGCACGCTCCTTTTCTCACTCGAACAGCAAAAGTAGCTGCGGAATGCAGTAACAGTAATGTCAAGGTGTGACAAGGCAGGCAGCAGGAGAGGCAACTGTATGATGAGGCGGAGAGGAGCATATTTACTCCCCCCGCGGCGGGTTTCGTAGAGCGCATCCAGCCACAGCCCACCCGGCCTGCACATATTTACAGCCACCGGAGTGAACCCCAAAAGCATTTTACCGCTCAACGGTGGTTGCCAGGGGGCTAAAGGCCGACGAAACCCGACGAATCCCACCAATAATGAAAATAAAGCCTCTCCGCCGAAACGACTGGGTTCGGTCGGCGCCAATGCGACTTGGTCGCTTGGCTCGCGTCCTCACTCACTCGTTGTACCAGGAGGACTGCGAGCGTGAAGGCGGAGCAGGAGGTCTCGGAGTTGAAGACGAAGAACCTCCCTTCTGTCCAGCTGTTCGATGAGGCGCAGCTGATTTGCCTCCCTTGCCAGTGCCAGCGTACGGAGCTGGCCAGACGTTCTTGGACTTGTCCTTGTTCTTGGCGCACCCCTTGCCTTCTTCTCTCAAGAGGTAGTGGATGTAGTTATTCAGGACACAAAGTGCCACACGCGACTGTTGAGATCTCTGGGTGTCTTCCAGTATATCATGTCGCGGTGAACCCAGTATCCCTGCAACTCGCGGGACGAGGAGTACTGCGGGTAGTGGATCGCGGGGTCCCAGACGCCATCGTCGCGGCCGGCAGCCATGGCCCCGCCGCGCGCGCGCGCGGTCATTGGCCGATCCCACGTGTCCCCGTCAGAAGAACGTCTCGAAAACTCCCCACCCGCCGATGCGGTTTGACCGCCGGCGGAGTGAGGAGACTCAGCGATGTCATCACTGGCCCGAGCGTCTTGGACGTGGGCGGTCTAGGCGGGGCAGGTGGAGCCGAGCGTTCAGCAGGGCTTGGCCTTGCTGGCGCGGCGGGGGCCCCCTCCGAACCGGCTGGGCCGTCGGAGGGGTCTTCAGCGTCTCCTTCTTCGCGAAGGCGCTTTTCTTGCTGCAACTTCGCATATCTCACAATACCCATCGCTGCAGTAGTCACATAGGCACCGTATTTCCCACTGGCAGTGCGAAGTGGACCTTCGGCACTGTCCTGTTCTTTGGTAGATGCCAGGAATGGGCATAAGAAAAAAACGACTTCTTGCAACTTCACGCCTTGGCGACGGAGATCGGCACGACGCTGTTTGCACAGATCGCGAGCCCACGCCTCGATGAGGTCAGCTGCATTGACAGCCGTACGAATACGGCGGTCCAGCGCATATGCGTCGGTGCGGCGCTGTTCAGTGTCATACCCGTCGTCTGTGTCGCGAATATGGAGGCCAGTCGCGGGGTATGCAATGTGATATCCATCGGCAAGGAAACAACTGATGAGCTCGCGGACAATCACAAACGCACGCATGACACGAAGGTCCAGGTCGAGCTCCCCAACGGGAACCTTCCAATTCTGCACGATGGCCTCTCTCACATCTGCAGGAACCACATGTGTCAATTCTCCCGTCAGGCGCGACCTATCAACCGGGGTTGTGGCGCATGTGCTCCATGACATACTGTGCAGCGACAGCGATGGCTTCCTGCGTCGTCGTGGTGACGCGCAGTGTGCCATCATCACGTTGAGGGTTCATCTGTCCGTCGGGCGGATCAATGGCGATTTTCCCCTCGAGCATCTGCTGGGTCTGGGACCCGCAGACGGCGGCGAATCGTGGGGCATCGGATCAAGCCTATCGTCACCTGTCGTCTCGGCTTGGCCGGCGACAGGTTTCACAACACTGAGAGGATGCTTGAAACAATTCTTGTTGCGCCTGGAAACTGACCTGGACTGGCGGGCAGGGCGAGCAACAAGCTGCTCCGCCCAGGCAACAGGCGGACGTCCACGAGGGCTGGGCCCTGTGGCGTCCGCGCCAGTATCCTGTGCATTGGGCATCCAGGCCGCTACTCCAGTCCGTGCGCTTTGCAGCGTCTGGAGAGTCGGCGAGAAGGTCCCTGTCCCCTCCAAATTGCGTTCCCATACTTCCCAACCTCCATGGGGGAAATACGCAAATCATCTTCGTCTGGCCAGTCAAAAGCAGGCAGGGGAGGGCAGGAAAAGGGGCGCGCATACTGATCAATGTCTGTGGCCCAAATCAGGGGCCACCACTCAGCGATCGTCGGTCCGGAAACCCCTGCTCTTTCTGCCAGAAATGCCAGCCACTTTATGAACCTCCTCTTGAGAGGTTCAAGGTGCTGGAAAAAAGGTCCGTGACGCGCCGGCGGCTGGGCCGCGGCGTCGTCAGGGACCCAGGCAGGAGCACTGCCAGGGCGGCTGTTGCCAAAGGTTTGACCTGCAGCAGCCATCGCGGTGCATCCACCGTTTGCCCACTTACGCTCCAGCTTCAAATTGTTATTGATGTTCGTCATGACATCCGCTGACGCTTTGCCCTGCCGTTGTCGTCTCTCTGCAACGTACCGATCTTGTTTCCAGGGCAAGTCGTCGAAATCGTGAACGGTCAGCTCGAAGCCATTATTCCACAGTGAGCGCTCAATAGTTCGCGACAGGAATGACTGGAGCATATAATTGTGCGCAACCATGTAATTGCACTTCACTGCGTTATTGAAAAAGGGGCAACGGCCGAAGCCTGTGCGCACCCAATGCAGTTCAGCGCAGAGGAACCGACCATCGTCGTCCCAGGGGACTGACCGGATGAACTCGTCTGCCCTGTCAGGCCATTCCCTGAAGCCTGGCCGCAGCGTCGCCGTCTCGTCAGTGCGAATCCATCCACGCATGGAATTCTCGTCGAAATCCACCTCATACGAGGTCCACTCCTGACTGAAGACAAGGGCCCAAGAAGTCAACATTTGGTTCGCATTTATCCAATCCTGTACTGTGGCAAGAGCGACAGCTTTGTCTATGTCGGTGAACTTTGGCACCTGATGGGACACAAGGGTCCCGTCGCGGCAAACCCGGCACGAAAATCGGGCAAGGACACGGCCATTGAAGACAAGAACAAGCGGCCAAGATGCTCTGTGCGTCGGGAGTTGGTCCCACAGACGGACTGTGTCCACTGTGGGCCATGATTCAATCGTAGAAGTCTGTCCCACCTCGGGGGCTTGGCCCATTTGGCGGTGCTCTTTCGCACGAACACTCTCACCACCCCTACGCTGGCCGAGCCAGGAGGGAAAGTGGCCGGGCTTTGCATGACCGGGCCCCGCTTGGTCGGAAGAAGCCTCAACAATCCATAGTCCGACTCAAAACAAAGGCCCGGCGCGCTCTTGGGGAACTGGATGTCCCCGAGCATCGATGCCTTCAACGCTTCCATGTCCGTAATATGGAGAAGAGGGCCATGGCACCTGGCTAGGCCAGGGCCATAAGGCGCATACATTCTCTCAATGGAGGCAACTAACGTGGAGCGCCCCTCACACGCTCTATAGAAAACGGGGACGGGACAACTATACCGCTCACCCGCAAATACGGGCCAGCTCCTAAAGTCCCCCCAAGATTCATGGAGCCTGGCGTCGTGGATGCAAACAAGGTGGTCAGGAAGTACGCCCAAGGCTTCCACGGTCCCTGGCTGCAGCGCGGCTAAGCCGTGCGCAGCAAGTGCCACCGTTTGGTGTTCGTACCCATATTCTCGCATCTTGTCGATTAGGTCTCCAAAGTAGACCCAACCTCCCGAAGACCTCGCGTAATCGGAACAATATCTCGGGAGGTGCGTAGCAAAATCTCCGATGCGCTTCGCAAACTCATCTACCCGACCGCTGTGGCGTCAGAGAAAACTCGGCACAGCCGAGGGCCGCCGGATTATCATTGTCAGAGACGCCTACAGCCAACGGAGCCAGGGCCTTGAAGGCCCGAGAATCAAATCCGTCGGGAGTGTCATCAGAGTAGAGTTCTGCACGAAGGCAACCCCTCGTCTGCTCAAAACTTGTTACGTCGAGGGTAAACTCTCCCAACGATGCAAATATGGGATCCTCGGCGAGCTCGGCCATGCGTTTGAGCGTGTCAAACGTTCTATCACGAAGGGCCTCGACATTGGGAGGTACAGGACCAGTAGTATGAGCCTCTCGAGTTCGCCGCTTCAACTGAGCAGGCGTGTTCTGTATAATTCGGTTTCGGTCATTCTCTGAAAGATAAAGGTCCTTGCCCTTGAATTTGTCAGCGTGGCCAACGGTAACCTCATTTCCGCC